TCATGTGAAATACTTAAGTCACTGATCTGAAGAGACAATAATAATGATTCTTGGAACTACCCAGCACACTTGGGATGTGTAAGGTTCAACTTCAAAGCCCTGTTCTAATGGTCATTGATACAAAATGGAACAGACAGGCTACGTCTACATTGCAGGCTTCTTGTGCAAGAACTGTTTTGCGCAAGAAAGAGTTCTTGTGCAAAAGGTCTTCCACAAGAGCGCGTCCACACTGCCATGTACTTTTGCACAAGAGATGTGCTCGTGTGCAAGAATGTCCATGGCAGTGCAGACACTCTCTTGCACAAGAAAGCTCTGATGACCATTTTAGCCTTAGGGGTTTCTTGCGCAAGAAATTAATGTTGCCTGTCTACACTGCCTCCTTCTGGAAGAGCTCTTGCGCAAGAGGGCTTATTCGTCATGGGGAGAGGAATAACTCTTCTGGAAGAAGCCCTGTTTTCTGATGCTGTATTGTACATTTACTTATGCAAAAACACGGTGCAGTGTAGATGCTCTGCAAGTTTTTGCACAAGAACAGCTATTCTTGTGCAAAAAGCCTGCAGTGAGGACGTAGCCATATTACTTTACTTCCTTTCGAGGAGTGTGGCTTTGGCCATACTCCTCTCTTCTGCATTTTCTACTTGTTAGCTTATGCAGCTCACCACTCAGGACCATGCTGGCTTTGGTGGATCCTATTCTTGGCACCAGACTTTCCTCATGCATCACATAGGGACTGGAAGCCTAGACTCCTAACTCAGGGCTGTGGATTCCACTAGCTGGAAGAACACCTAAACATTAGGCATTGCAATGCTGAACCTAATCTATGAATTTATTAACTAAACCTATGAATTTTCCATGCTAATAAATCCAGGTGTTTTACCAGCCCGATCAAAAAAGATCATATACGGTTAAATCCCTGGACTTCTGAACTTCCACTGACTTCAACAATAAGAACTGCAAGATTTAGCCATTGGTGTTTTAAAAGCCTCACCATTATTATGGTCCTTTTTGTAGCTCTATTAGAAGTTATGCAGTACCATGCTGAAGCAGAAATTCCGACCTTAAAAGCTTAGTTTGATTACCCTTATTACCTTGGCTAGCTTATCAGTAAAAGTTATGGATAGTCATAGTTTAAATAATGCCACTTAAGTATTTAACTTTACAACCTCCTGGCTGGTAAGTTTCAACAGGTACTTTTTCAAATTGGCTCCATTATTACTGTCCTTTAGTTCCCCATGTGCCCATGTTCTGTTATAGGAAAAGATAAAGAGACAAGAACTGATCATCTTTCACTCTGCTCTACGTAACCTTGATTGTTTCAGTCAAGTCTCCTGGGTCTGTACGTTAAAAAGCCCTAATCTAAAAGATGCCATTTAGGCAGTAGTGTAAAATTCTTGGGGATGATATACACATAGATAGATCTTTTGGGGGGTAATAAAGTTTTGATAAATCACCTTCTCCTTAACATACATGTATCTAATTCACTTGCCTCTATAAAATGACATCAAGAGGTGGGAAAGTAGGTGTTTCAGAAGATTAATAATGAGATATGGAATCTTTTAATGTCTAGGTTGTCTTTTTAAAATTCAAATGACATCAGTAATAGAAGAAAATTGTTACCATCTGATTGCTGTTCAGTATCATGTATGAAATAAGTTGATGGTGTCAGTTCTTAATGGAAATGCCTCCACTGACAAATGCCACTTCTACACTTCACACTCTTATTCCTAATGTCACAACAGAGATCAAGAACTTGGTGATTGAAGAACTACCTGCTAATCCATAAATGTGCTCTCTTTTGGTAATAATTGGGGCACATGGTCAGGAAATTGAACTGCTGCTGCCCTGAAGAAGAGCTCTGTGTAAGCTCATCCTGGGTCAGACCAGTGGTCCATCTAGTCTAGCAACCTGCCTTCCAGCAGTGGCCAATGACTGATGCTTTAGAAAGAATTAAAAAAAAAAAACAGTTATCAAGTAATCTATCCTGTCAGCCAGTTGCAGCATTTGGCAATCAGAGGCTGAAGGACAACTAGAGCATAGGGGGCAATTAGTCAATCTGGACCAGGAAATTATCTCATTCTTTTAAAGTCAATTATAGTTGTGCTGTTCACAACACCCCACTGTAACAAGTTCCATAGGTTGACTCTTCATTGTATGAAGAAATACTTCCTTTTGTTTGTTTTAAACCTGTTGCCTATTCGTTTTATTGGGTGATCCTGGGTCTTCAGTAAATTGAATGAGTAAATAATACTTCCTTATTCACTTTTATAGACCTCAATCATCTCCTCACCTCTTAGTCATCTCTTTTCCAAGATGAACAATATTTCAGCTCCTACGGAAGCCGTTTCATATCCTTAATCATTTTTGTTGGCCTTCTTGCTATCTTTTCCATTTCTAACATTTTTTAAATGGGGGAACTGGAGCTTCATATATTATTCAAGGTGTAAACATACCATCTATATGGCATTGTGATATTTTCTGTTTTAACGGTTCACAATCGTGGTGAAAGAGCATAACAAGTGGGGTTCCACAGGGGTCTGTTTTGGGACTGATTCTGCTCAATATCTTCATCAACAATTTAGGTATTGGCATAGAGAGTACGCTTATTAAGTTTGCAGGTGATAGCAAGCTGGGAGGGGTTGCAAGTGCTTTGGAGGATATGGTCATAATTCAAAATTATCTGGACAAACTGCAGAAATGGTAGGAGGTAAATAGGATGAAGTTTAATAAGGACAAATGCAAACTACTCCACTTAGGAAGGAACAGTCAGTTTCACACATACAAAATGTGAAGCAACTTTCTAGGAAGAAGTACTGCAGAAAGGGATCTATCCTCAGAGGCTAAGGGCAACAATTTTTCTCCCCCCTCCTTGTGACACCCTTTTTGATACCTTAAAACTACTATCATATCCCCTCTCAGTCTTCTCCTTTCCAAACTAAACAAGCCCAATTCTTTCAGTCTTCCTTCACAGGTCATATTCTCTAGACCTTTAATCATTCTTGTTGCTCTTCTCTGGACCTTCTCCAATTTCTCCACATCTTTCTTGAATTGTGGTGCCCAGAACTGGACATAAAACTCCAGCTGAGGACTAATCAGCACAGAGTAGAGCAGAAAATCATAGTGGACCATAAGCTAAATATGAGTCAACAGTATGACGCTGTTGCAAAAAAAAGAAAACATGATTCTGGGATGCATTAACAGGTGTGTTGTGAGCAAGACACAAGAAGTCATTCTTCTGCTCTCTGCAGCACACCTCCGACTGCCTCGTGGCACACCAGTGTTTAAGAAACACTGTTCTGGACAATACTTGGTCCTGCTGTGAGATCAGGTGACTGGACTCAATGAACTCTCGAGGTCACTTCCTGTTCTATGATTCTGTGATTAGTTACCCCTTTTCTAATGGTTCCCAACATTGTTAGCTGCCTTTTTTTTAACTGATGCTACATATTGAGTGGAAGTTTTCAGAGAATTAGCTACAATGACTCCAAGATCTTTTTCTTGAGCATTTACAGCTAATGTAGACCCCATCTTTTCATGTGACACTTTTGTTGCTTAGTTACCCAGTTTTGTGAGATTCCTTTGTAATTCTTCACTGTCAGCTTTGCACTCTCTTCAGTAATTTTGTATCATCTGCAAACTTTGTACATTGGTGTACCCCCCTTTTTTCTAGAACATTTAAGAATATGTTGAACACACTGGTTCCATTACAGATCCCTACCTTTTGTTTCCTATGTTCTAATACATTACTGATCCAAGAGAGGACCTCTCATCCCATGATAACTTAGTTTGCTTAAGAGCTTTTGGTGAGGGACCTTGTCATAGGCTTTCTGGAAGATCAAGTATACTATATCCATTGGATCCCCCTTGTCCAAGTGTTTGTTGACTCCTTCAAGAATTCTAACTGATTGGTGAGGCATGATTTCCCTTTATGAAAGCTGTGTTGAATATATTTCTGTTCTTTACTAGAGTTTCAATGAATTTGTCTCGTTCCAAAGTTAGGCCTGCAATTACCGGAAGTGCCTCTGTATACCCTTTTTTTAAAAAAATCGTGTCGCATTAGCTATCATCTAGTCATCTGGTTTAGACACCGATTTCAGTGATAGGTTACATACCACAATTAGTTCTGCAATTTCATAGTTGAGTTTCTTCAGAATTCTTGGGTGAATACTTAAGTCTCTGTCTCATATCAACAGAGGTGTGTCTAATAACAACAATTACCTCTCTCAGCTTGTCTCTTTCTTTCTTTGGGAATGTCAACACCAGTATCTTCCACAAGCAACTACACTCAATAATGGGAAAAATCCTTAATTAGAAAAATAATTTGATGGCCTGAATTTGATAGGAAAAATGTTATGTGAATGTAAGAATAGACATACTGGGTCAGATCAAAGGGCTCCTCATTTATAGGATTTTTGCAGGATCAAAAAAATCCCATCAACCTGTTCTGTCATCAGTATTTTCCAGTTAAAGAAATAAACCTATAGAAACAAAACACGTTCCAGACAAACACGTTAAACTGACTACTAGAAGAAGGGACAAGCTGGAGAACTAACACCAAATATGTTAAACTAGAATAAATTATAAAAGAAAAATAAATGTGTTCTCTGTGTGGCAAACACATTATTTCATGAAACTTTGTTACTCTTAAATGCAAACTGTATGGGTACATCTACACTGCAACACTATTCCAAAATAACTTAGTCCACGTCTACACAGCAGGCAGTTATTTCGAAATAGTGTCTAAATACCATCAAGCTGGAGGACTACTTACTCCAACTTCTGTAATGCTCATTGTATGAAGAATAAGAGGTCAGAGGAAGAGTGCTCTATTTTTAAATAAGTGCTGTGTAGATGCTCCTTATTTCAAAATAAGCTATTTTGAAATAAGATACGCAATTGACGCAGGTCAATTTGCATAATTTATTTCGAGTTAAGCCCTTCAGTGTAGATGCACCCTATCTGCCAATGCAGACTGATTAAAAAGATTATTTGGGAACATTAGTTCTATGTTTCTCAGACCTCTCCTACTTTTTTTTATTAGTTGCTGGTCTTCTGTGGGGAACCGCCAACAAGGGAAACAGCAGCTCTCGATTGGAGCCAACTGTGACAGGATTGGAACTATTCAACATGAGTTCCTTCATGCTCTTGGATTCTGGCATGAGCAATCACGATCTGATCGGGATGATTATGTCTCCATAATGTGGGACAGAATTCAGTCAGGTAAACCATTTCCACTTGCTTTCTTTTTACTTAAGGCAGGAGAGAAGACTAATCTGTTAAAATCCTGCTGTAGCTGAATGAAACTTAAAAATAAAATCACCTCACCTTTATTTATTTAAAAAACTACCTACACCAAAGAGATAAATGTTAAGGGACATCTAATTACGGCAATAAATTCCGTTATTTTCATCTGTATCATGGCAGTTCCTGGAGGCCATAATGAAGGATTGGGGCCTCATTGTGCAGGGTGCAATGCCCAGAGTAAGGGAGCATTTTGGAGCACAGTAATTGGATTCATTTACAGTAGTTTACAATGACTCCATCTATTTCTCTAGAAGCTTTTGGCAATATTTAAAAAACAATCAAAAACCCAGTGCAACCAAATCAAAACCAGGAGCCAACCATGGAAAATCTCAGCAAACTACAATTCCTGCTCATCCAGAAATATAATTTATGCTATCATGTGCTGAAAGTGTCCGTCTGCTATGTACATTGGACAAACGTCTCAGACACTTCGCCAAAGGATCAATGCCCACAAAACAGATATTAGACAGGATCACAAAGAAAAAACAGTTTCTTGCCATTTCAACCACAAAGGACATTGTCTCAACGACTTGATTACCTGCATCCTGCTTCAAAGACCTTTTAAGACTTCACTTGAAAGAGAATCCTCTGAACTGTCATTCATGCTTAAATTCGACACTTTACAC